CTCCACGGGCAGGCTCAGAGAACTGCGGAGCCCCTTGGTCACGAACACATCCTGAGGCCCACCCGTGTCGAGCGCTGCTTTTACCCACAACAACAATGAGTTCAAATTTAGAAGGAGATCTGCAAGTGACGCAGCACGAACATCAAGATATTAATATCCTCAAACGTCGTGCATGCACAGCAAGTCCTCACTAAGAGTCATCCACAGGCTCTTGGAAACTGTGACTGCAGTGAAATGATGTGTAAGGAGACTAATTTTCCCATAGGCTAATTGATAGAAAGAAGAGTCAAGTTACTGTGGTATATTCTCGCCACAAGGACATCGCTTAACTTCTAAATAAAGACCAAAATGCTTCTAAGATTAAACGTTGATGTAAATGTGAGATGTATGTACATTTAAGAAAGATTAATAAAAACAAGTAAGATAATTATTTACCTAATAATAATTATTCCAGTCCAGGGTCTCGGGTGGCTGGAGCCCATCCTGGCAGCCCAGGGTGCCAGGCAGGGGCCCGCCCTGGATGGGACGCCATCCCACCACCGGGTGGACTCACACACACACCACCCTCACTCAGGCTGGGACCGTGTAGACACGCCAGTTCACCTAACGTGCACACCTTTGGGATGTAGGAGGAAACCAGAGGACCCAGAGGGAAACCTGAGCAGACGTGGGGAGAACATGCAAACTCCACCCAGACAGTGGCTGAGGCTGGGAATAATTTTTTTTTTTTTCTTGGTTAACATAAGGAAATAACATTGAGTGAAATAACATCATTGGAGGACCTGCTGTGTAACATTTTGCACTGTCAAAAGACAGGCTTTTCAGATGTCTCCACAGATCACGCTGACAGCATGACATGGGTGGACATGGGGGACGGAGCCTAGACTCAGACGTGGGTCAGTTCGTGGCCTGGCTCTATCATTCCACAACCCTGCCATGTACAGCCCATCACTAAATATCAAAGCCTCAGCTTCCACAGCTGTGAAATGCAGAGCAGTGACCTCCTTGGAGGAAAAAGAGGTGGCCACGTACGTGGTAAGGACCTGGAGCCAGGCTGTCTGACACTGGCCCCATTGCTTCCTGGCTGTGCAGCTGCAGGTGAGTTATGTAACTTGTTAGCCGAGCCTGCCAAGTAGCCTGGATCGGTGTCTGGCGCCGCGCCCCCAGGACAGGGGTTGCAGGCTGACCCTGTGCTCTGCAGAGGGCTACAGGTCCCCGTGGACACCCATCCTCTTTAGCGCATGGCTCACCTTAGACCCTGGAACCCATACACCGAAGGTTTAAAGAGGAGAGACCTGGAACTCTTCCCCACACCTGAGTATTTGGGGACCCAACAGAAGTCTTACGAGACACTCAGCAAGGTTTTCATGGTTACGGCGGATAAGGTCAAATTCGATGGGACAAGAGTAGCTAGAAGGGAACCAAGGTCTACAAAGCACAGTGGTGGGCCCCCCTCGGTTCAGGAAAGAGCTGGAATTAACTTCAAATACCCCTGGATGCTGCCCCTTACTCTCTCGGTGCCCTTAGGTAACTTCCTGGACCTCTCTGGGCCTCTGTTTTGCCATCGGTAAAGCAGGGATGGTCACTCCTGCTCGCAGAACCGCAGGTGGACTTCACGCAATGGCAGTGGCCAGGGCCTGGCAGAGCCCTGGTAAGTGCCCTCCATAAGGCAATTACTCTCCCACCCTCCCCAAAACCTTATCTTCAGAGAGCTGCCCTCAGGAATGGACAATTTCAGGGTCACTTGATTCCCGCCCTCCCCACGCTGGGCAATGAGGCCACCTACAGCTGCTCCCCCTTCTCCTCCCTCCCGCCTTGCTTTCCTGCACTTCAAATGAGAGGTGCCCATCGTCACAGCCCTCAGGCTTGCTCCATGCCTCCACCCTGAGAGGGCTTCTCTGGCCGGGCGTGTGTTCTGTCTAGTGCGGAGGGCTGGGCCAGCACTCTGTGACCGTACTTGGGCTGTGGCAACATGGAGAGGCACCACAAGAAATCAGATGGAGAATGGGCTTCCAACAAGCACAGCCGGGACTGAGGGCCCTCGTCAGACGAACAGAGCCAGGCCCAGCTGCTGGCGGAGCCCTGTGTGCCCCCGACGCCAGCAATGCCTCCATGGCTCCCAGCCCATCTCTCCACAGCAGCACTCCAGAAGCTTCTGGCCTACATAGGCCTTCCAAGCACCCACCCACCTAGCCACCGAGAGCCCGTGTGGGCCTGATTTAGGGAAGGAACATGGCCAGTGCGGGCCTCACTACAGACCCCGGGGACCAGACCATCCTCCAGGCCTAGTCTGTGTTGGACTGTGGGAGGCCCAGGCTGGGCCAGCAGCAGGGCTGTCGGGAGCCCCAGGCCTGAGTAGGGCAGTCCTCCAGGCGCTTGGAGTAACCACCACGAGGTCAGGAGTGTGGCTCTGAAAGAGGGGCGGGGCATTCTGAAGGGTGGGGGCCAGGCCCAGCGTCACCTCCAGCTCTATGACTCCTGGACTTTCGGACCTGGGACATGCCACTCAAGCACTCAGTCCGCCTCAGCAAACTGGGAAAATAAACAGTAGCACCTACTCATATAGTCACTGGGAAGATAAAGCAGTGAAAACGTGGAAGGCTCTTAGGCCAGCAACTGGCCCACAGGACACCCAATCAGTATCAGTCCTCATTCACATTAAGTCACAAGAACTATTGTAACAATTTTGGTTCTCCCCATGGCCCCAAGGCCATGACACAAGGAGGGACGCTTCACCACCTTCTAGAACCGGTCAGTGTTACCCAGACCACACTGTCAACCACACTCACCAGCACTCCTGGCACCCAGGGTCCAGCAAAGGAAATGCAGGGTGCCTTACCCAGAAACGGTCAGGGGGACCCACAAGCACCGTTTCCCCCAGTCCTGGGCGTTCCTGCTTGGCAGGTGCCCTGACACGGCTCTCTGAGCCACAGTCCCAGAGGGCCACTGTCAAGGGCAAAAGCAGTGGCCTCCTGCCCATCGGGAGGGTCCCTGCACCCGGCTCACCTGGAACCTGCACGGACACCACATCACTGGCACCTGGTTGCAGCTGGGCTGAGCGAGGCCACACAAGGTACCCAGATTGCCCTGAAAAGCAATGTGGCCATGAGGAAGCAAGACGGCCTGGGCGCAGCCCGAGAGGTGTCAGGATCCCACTCCCCACAGCTCTGTCCCCGGGAAGACAAAGCTCCAGGCTCCGCCTGGGAAGAGCCCCGGGGGCCTGGTGTGCTGAGGGGTGGTCACTGAGGGTCACAGAGAGGTTTGCAATCTGGCACAAAACAGTATTTTTGGTGCAGGGGAGGAGAAGCCAGGGGCAGATCTAGAGGAAAAGTCCGAAGTTTGGAGGGACATGGGGTGGCCCAGCAGAGGTCCTGCAGGGGAACGTGGGCACAGGCCCCGGCAGGAACTCGGGGCGGGGGAAGGACGCTGCATTAGGGGCACACGCGGGGAAGGCGGATGAAAGGACTGTGCCCTGCCTAGGGGGCTGGGTGCCCGAGACCAGGACAGAGAGAAGAGGACGACGGAGTCCAGGCAGGAAGTGGCCCTGCAGCCATGGGCAGCAGCAGGGCCCCAGGGCTCTGCAGTCCGGCTTTCCTGAGCCCTGGAGGGGCTGGGGGAGGGGCTGTGCCCTACGAGCCAGAACAAGCCGCTGGCAGGTGACTTCCTCCCACTGGAGGTCATGCTTTGGCTTCTCTGTGCCGCACACTCAGGGGAAAGGCAGGCCTGGCCTCCCCGCTGCCCTCTGGGGCTGCAGAGGAGCTGGAGGCTCCCAGCAGGAAGTGGCAGATCCCACCGTGGTCAGAGCCCGGCCCAGGAAGGAGGAGGGCAAAGCCAGGCTGGACGTCTGGAGTTCTCTCTCCCTCACCACCGGCCCCCCAGGGGCCTCTCCCTGTCCAGGGGCCCCGTGGCTGCTGCCTGGCTGGTTCCCCGTCCCCAAGGAGGCCACGGGACTTCCTGGGCAAGGAGGCTTCCTCAGGGTGAATTGCTGTTGTTTGGGTCCCAGGGCTCAAAGTCCTGCACAGCAACCTGTGAGGGCCCCTTGTGTCTCCATCTCCACGCCTCCTCCCTGCAGCCCTCGTCACCCCCTCTCAGCCGGTGACAAGGCCCTCTTGGTGAGCACTTTCCTCACTCTATGTGAATGGCTTGCTGCCAGGCCAAGAATGTGCCACTATCCTTTCCAGAGAGCTTCCACGGGGATAAGAATATGGCTCAGGACTGGTTGTTTCTATTTTTTCCCTGACCTCTGCGAGCCTCTTTGTGACTCAGTTTGTTGGACTCAGGCACCCACAGGCAAATGGTTAGAAACCCAAGCACTGCCCAAGCTGACTGTGACCTCTGTGAGAACCAGGGACTGGCCAGTGTCACCATCTGCCATTGTCCAGAATCCTGGATGCTTCCAAAGGCGGAACCCCGCGTGCTGGACACGCCTGGGGGTTAGGGGACAGGAGCCCTCATACTTGTTGCCCACTAGGAAGGGCTCGGCCTCTGGTTTTCCCTCAGCACCAAGTCCAGTGCCCACAGAGCCATGCTGCTTCCTGGGCCGGGCTCTGTAATGTGACCCAGCTGCCCCCCTCCGCCAGCTCCTCCCCACTGGGCCCTTCTCACCTCCAACCCTGGCATCCCGCACACTCCACGCTCTCCTTTGCACCCAGAGCAATAAACAATCACTGTGGGGCACGTATTTGGAGGTGGTGGAGGTGGTTTCTTCGGCTTCTAGAAGGAGAAAAACAGCTGTCCGCCTCCTTGTCTGGCACACTCTGGGCAGCAGGGACGTGGGGTCCCTGGCCGCAGCACCTGGCACAGGGCTGGCTCCTCAGCAGACACTTGTCACTGAATGAACGCACCAGTGAGGGGCACCCACCACGGGGGCGGGGGGGGGGCGTCCTCCATGGGAGACACGCGCACACTCCTCCAGGTCTGTGAATACGGCTCTTCCCCTAAACGCCAACAACTCCGGCCTGCGTCCTTGCTGCTTCCTCAGCCACCATGTTGGCGGGAGCCTGTCCTGGAGGCTGAGTGGCCGTCCCTGCACACGCCCACTGCCCTGCCCCTGTGGCCGCAGCCTCCCCAGGCCCACGCTGCCCAGCACAGAGGCAGCACGGGCAGCCAGGCCTGTGTCCACCACAGCCCAGGCCAGGGCCTCCTGCCTCAGCCACCCACCACGGCCACTCACGGCCCCTGGGGTGTCCCCAGCCCAGGTGAGCCACAGCCAGCTCCCGCCCTTGGTCCCTGCGCTCACCGGGGCTGGGCGTCCCTCCCACCCGCGGAGCCCTGCAGTCCCTCCAGACTGAGCCCAGCCAGCGCTCGGCCCTGCCAGGAGAAGGGGATCAAACAGACACATCACACGGAGCCAGCCCTCCATGCAGAGCCTGGGCTGGGACCAGCTCCCCAAAACTGGAGGCTCCTTCTCCAAAGCCCACCCGAGTCCTCACAGCCCTTTGGGGACGACACTAGAGCTCCATGCGTCTCAGCAGGGACCCCGGCAGTTGCTGAACCTGGGGGTCCCAGGCTGCACATTCGGTGACAGAGGCTCATGACAGGTGGTGCTGGGAGCGGAAGAGCCTTGTCTGGGCGACATCACTGGGAGTCCCGAGCCGCCCCCAGGCCCCGCCCTGCCCCTCTGTGACCCTCTCCTTTGCCCAGGAAGGTGGGAGCTCAGGGGCACAGGTTTCTTGGAGCCTCCTCGTGAAGGGCAGTGCCCTCCTCAGGCAACAATGTCAGCACCAGAACCACAACTTAACTTTTCTGCCTTCAGCACAGGTAGGCACTCCTTCCTGGTCTAGAATGTTCAAAAGAGAGAAATGTGGGATGGGTGGGGGTGGGGTGGGCTCTGCCTGGGCCCTGCACACAGACGGGACCCTGGTCTGGAGCAGCAGGACAGACGTTGGCCTTCGGGTGTCAGTCTGGGGGCCCGAGCCTGTGGCGCTGAGGCCAGCAGGCCCCACCTTACCCCAGGGGAGTCCCTGCATCCCCGCCC